TACTTAGATGACATGATGATTGATTCTTACATCTTTCTAAAACTCTAAACAAATGTAAATTGGTGCGTGAAATTGATTATACTTCTTTTTTTTTAAGCAAAAACTTAATCATAATCAATTTTTCAAAAACCGGTTCCTCAAAGTCTCTCAAACACTACTTCTAAGAATAATTTGAAGTACTTGGGAATATTTCTTCACTTTCACCCAAACACTCTGATACTTGTTCCTATTTTCTGAAAAAGCAAAATCAATTTTAAAAAGTAGATCCAAACACCCTTATAATGTTCACGACACGTAATAGATGTGTATAAAAAAATGAGAATACAATTTCCATATTTCTACACGTCCGTCAAAAACAATTTGTCTGCACATTTTATGTATATGTACCTAAATGTTGATGCTTTCCACTAAGACAAGGACACTTTTGAGGAATTTTGTTTTCTCTGATTAAATTAAAGAAAACGTTTTTTATTTTATTAAATTAGGTGAGAATAATCCCATATACTTTATTGAGTAAGACAAATGTGTGAGAACTTTACTAATACTACCTCCTTCCCATTAAGATTGGGACGGAGAATGTGGCACGGTTATTCAGCAAAGTGAGTTTATGTGGTTGATATTGAATTGATAAAGTAAGAATAAAGTAAGAATGATTAAGAGTCACACAAACTTTACCAAATATGATATTAGACAATCTTAGTGGGATTTTCCGAATATGTAAAATAGGATAACGGGGGAGGACATCATTTGGAGAATCGATCACTAGCATCTTTTCGATATGCGCCGCAATTACAATAAGACACATACATACATATCATGGTCGGGCCACCTCAAATTTAATACAGTAAATATCAACGTCATATCCTAATGAAATTATAACAATAAAGTTGGATGTCCGAAATCCTATGGTGTTGTGCTTCGTCAGACTATCTTTTTGGAAAAAGAAATTATTTGTATTTGCGCCAGCTAATGAGTTTATGAAGTTATACGGCGTATAATAAAGTTAAGTACGAGAAAAGTGTCTATGCGGTACATCAACTTGTAAGCGGGGGAATAAAGAATACATCATTGTGCAATTGGGATTCGGAGGTACATTAAATCGCCAAAGCAGTGCTAATTTAGTCCATCGGGTTATTAGGGCGTTTAAAACGCCTACGTGACAGACAGATTACAGATATGGCAAACCGACCCGGACCCGGTGATAGTTAAGCAGTTCTGCGAAACCCTAATTTCTCGAATTGAAGAAACAGACGGTTTAAATTTGTCTGATAACATGAATATTCTCCTTCAACTGTTGATGGATAGTATACCCGGGGGTAGCTTATCCGAGGGGTTATTACGGGGAATAACTAGAGAGAAGTCAGAGCAAGTAAGGGAGAGAAAGTGTATTGAATATGCAAGTCAAGTCTTTTTTAGCGTGGTTTACAACGGGGAAATGGGGTGCTATTATAGTAGCAATAAATGCCAGACAGGGACACGTGTCAAGCACCCATTGGCCGATGGGTCACCTCAACTGGTTGGCGTTGGCAATCACATGTGGCCGCATTTAATGCGGTTGTTGGATGTGACGTCGTACTTGGTACGGTGATCCATGCGCATGTGGAGCGGATATTATGTCGGAAAAGGTGCCCTCGGCTGTAGATGATTAGCCGAGGGCTCTGAGTACCGGGGACCTCCTTAGTCCCGAGGGCTCTAGGTGCCGAGGGCTACTGATTTTCGCCGTTTTCTCCCAGTAACTTTGTTTTCCTGATGTGGCCCTCCTGTGAGGATTGGAGCCTTCGGCCAGGGGGGCGAAGGCACCCCTAGTGCGCACTGTGGGCCGCTTGGTACTCTGGGCGCTGTGATTTGGGCCTGTTGTGCTTCCTGGGCCTATTGGGCCTTTATTGGAGTAGTAGGAGTCTGTGGACCGGGGATTCCCGGGTCATATACTCCATCATGAGTCCCTCACTCCTTTTGCCGAAAGGTACTTGAGGGAAAAGGAGTAATTGTGTTCGTCCTCTGCCGTTGTTCCGTTGTAGTTTGTAGAGTTGTGGGTAGTTTGCTGTTTGTTTATTCTGTCGAGGGCAGTCCCTCAGTTACCCACATGTCGGGACTTGAGGGGTCATGTTTGCTGTTTGCGGGAGTTTTTAGCATTTTGCACTTTTTGTGATTTTTCCCGAGGGGTTCTCCAGTCCCCCACTCCTTGAGGCACTTGCAAAGTGGTGAAAAGGAGTAGAGTAATCATGTTGCTGTATTGGGCCGAAGGCTGACGCTTTTCGTCTCATTTTGGGGGGATGCCTCGTTAAAAACCTCATTAGGAAAAACCCTGTGGGAAAAAAATCCTAATGAGGGAAAAAGAGTGCATCGAATTCCCCCAACGATGAATCGAAAATGTGAAGCCCTGGTTTGAAATGGAGTACAATGCTTATGCCGAAGGCTATCCTTGTTCTGAGGGCGCATGTGTTGATTAGCCGGAGGCATGCTGTTGATATCCTTGGAGGTGCCAAAGGGGAGTCCCTCAATCTGGGGATCGAGGGCGTGATGAATGTGAGTAGTAGTTGGAGTGTTACCGGGGGGTCCCCTGTTTGTTGATCAGTTGGTGAGGAGGGTATCCGAGGGTTCCCGTTACCTGTGTGTCGTAGGCTATCCGTCAATGAGGTGTACTCTCCAGGGGCTACCTGGTCCTCAAAGTGTTGAGGGGGGAATCCCCGAAGGGTGTGCCCGTTATGAAGCTGTGGGCTTCTGAAGGAGTGAGCCCGAAGGCATTTGTTATGTAGTATGAGGGGCATAAACCGGGAGCATTTCTGAGTAAATGCACCCGGGAGCTCCTCTTGATGAAGTGGAGTGAAGTAAAAAGCCCGGGGGCTAGTTTCTTGGTTGATGAAGGAGTGGTCTGCTGAATATAGCCGGGAGCTCCCAGAATATAGCTGTTGTAAATATAGCCGTTGGAATACCTAGCGTCAAAAATATAGCCGTTGGGGGGGGGGGGCTTCCACGTGGTGCGTGCTCGTTGGCCGCCCGTGGGCGGGCGTCACCGATTGGGAAACTCGTCGGTTGGCAATGATGATTTCGTACCGGAGGCCCGGTTTTCAGGTCCAAGCCCGGATTTGGGCGCCTATAAATACCCCAAGGCCAGGCCACTTTTCTCTGTGTGATTTCATTGTAGCGAAGCTCTGCCGGATTTTTCCTAGAGAGAGAAACACTTACCCTCGTTCTAATTCCCGTTCCAAGGTCAGTTCCCACCTGCTCTTCTCTTCTCTTAGTTAGTTGTGCCCTGTGTCCTTAGATTAGGAGTTAGAATTCCGTAGGTAACCCTCGGTGTAGAGTACCGTCCTTGTAGCTGTACCAAGATGTCGTCCCAGAGCGATTCTCAGGACATCTCGAGGGACCCTTTGGTTGAGGATGAAACTGTCTCCGATGTGGAGTCCTCCAGTGAGCAGCCTTCGGTGGGACATGATGCTGCTGTGGCGATGGAGTTTCAGAGAGCCCTCGTCGCTGAGGTGGAAGCCGAGGGCTTCGAACAAGAGTGCGAGGATGAGGAGCTGGCCCTCGCCTGGCAAGCGGCTGAAGAAGAGGCGCAAAGAGAGAGCGCGAGGGTTACTGTCGCTGTTCTCCCCCCTCGCGACGTTGGTGAGGCCAGCACCTCTCGGCCACTGAATGCAGTCCCTCTGCGGGTGGCCCCCGAGAAAAAGAAGACGAAGGGCGCAACTTCAAAGAAGAAAGGCAGTGTTGCCGACCAGGGGAAGTCTGTTGACATGCCCGAGGGGTATTCCTACCTGAATACCGCCGCCCTTGACATACGGTCGAAGGCTGATGGGGCGGACCTCTACGTTACTCAGCTCCATGTGGGGCCCTCGGCGATGGTAGTGCCACCGGGAGCTGATGATATCCTCTCCCAGGCTCCCGAGGGGTGTATAGCCGTCCATATCTTGTCGGTGTCTATGGGCCTCCGATTCCCCCTGCACCCCTTTCTACGTGAGTACCTTCGGTACGTAGGACTGCTCCCTTGCCAGCTCACGCCGAATAGCCATTCGTACATCGCGGGCTTCCTCCAGCTCTGCAAGTCCCGGGGGGTAACGCCTAGCCTGGACCTATTCTTCCAGAGCTTCAATTTGTGTCGGGGGGAATGCGAATGCTGAGGGCTTCGCTAACTTGCAGCAGGTAGCATTTATCAAGCTTTTTACTAAAGCGCCTTCCTCCAACAAGGGATGGAAAGACCGATGGTGCTATGTGAAGCTGGCCGAGAGCCCATTCCCGAGGGAGTTGCGTGACCGGTTCAGGCGCCATGAAAAGAGGAGGAGCGCCACCCTCGAGAAAGATGGCAGGATCCTGGCTAAGATCCCGGAGGGTCGGAACAAGAACATCACTATAAAGGAGTGCACCCAGGAGGTGGATCTGTACGCCCTCGGGTTCCGACGGTACCGTTTCCTGGGGGAGACAGATGAAAAGTACCCGATGTTCGACAGAGCCTCCGGGGGTTTAGGAGGTAGGGGCCGAGGGCACCCAATCCTTTAGGCTTATGAATATTTTTGCTAGGCGTAGGCACTTTTTTTTTGTTGCACCTTTTCTCCTCCTGTCTTAACCGCCCTTATTCTTTTGCAGGTATCCACATGGATCTCAACGCCTTCGCCGCCCTCAAGAAGCAGAAGGCTAAAGTCCCGGGCCAGAAGGAGGCCAGCAAGCAGAAGCCCCTCGGGGAGTTCTCGAAGAAGGGCAGTGAGCCTTCGGAGGAGGCCGCCAAGAGGAAGGCCGCCGGCAAAGCCCCAATCCCCGAGGGGAAGAGGCCAAAGAAGGGGGACGCTGGGAAGAAGGCTCCCCCAGTGGTGGTTGTGGATGAGCACTCCACTTCCGAGCCTTGTGCCCAAATGGCAACGACTGCTTCTCATCTGCCCTCGGGTCAGGGGGTGAGGTAAGCTTGCCCCGGGAGGATATACGGTTCTCCCTGCCGAAGGGGGCTGCCATCACTCATGGCACCGTAGACCCTCGGAAGTTCCTGGGCGGGGCTACCCCTGCACTGGATAGGAAGGCCCTCGGGAAGCTTGATGACGAAGCTCTCGAGTCAAAAATCCTCCGGTCCTCCCTTACTGTAAGTTCTTCTCCTTCGTTTCTTTTTTTTGCATAGTGGTTTATTTCCCCTATCTGTTGTGTGATTGTAGCCTTACCCTCTTACGTTGTTGTTGTTAACAGGCCTGCATAGCCCTCGGAGAGCATGCCAGAAGATTCGACGAGTGGCGTCTCCAGAAGACGCAACAGGATGAGTCAATGAGAAAACTCATCCATGACAATGCCGAGGCCATGAGGCAAATGGCCCAGCTGGAAGGGGACCTTCAGCAGGTGAGGGCTGCAGCGGAGAAGGCAGCCAAGGAGAAAGCTGAGGTGGAGAAGGCTGCTGCTGAGGCCGCAAGGAAAGCTTCTGAGGACGCAGAGGCCGCCAAAGCAGAGGCCGTCGCCGGTGCTGTTGCTGCCTTCATGGCCGAGGGGTGGAAGGCAGAAGGCTACAAAGATTGGGTGGCCTCGGTCGTGGAGGGGTCCGCCGATGGGTGGGTGAAGGGCCCTGGGGCGATGTGGCTAGCCCGAAAGGGCGAAGATTATTATGCTGGGGGGTATTCTTCACCCAGGCCCTGATTTACAGAAGGCTTGCACGGCATCTGAAGATCGAGCCGAAGGCCTTCGACCCGGCGGCATATGGCCTCCCCCCCTCCAACCAGATATCAGAGTCCCCCTTCCCGAGGGCGTTGAAAGGCCAGAATTGGAGGATTCTGAGCTTTTGAAGGAGGCCGAGGGAGATGAAGCAGAGGCCGGCACAGAGGTCGTTTCAAAGCCCGTGGAAGAGGCTGCCACCGGGGCTGATAATATCTAATTTGTACTTAGCACATTTCGAACAATTTTGTTGTAACGAATATTTGTATGCTCTCGGCCTCGGCCGTTTTGTAATATACACTTTAACTCTTCCATTCTTCTGATGAATGAATACCTGCCTTCAGGCTTTTTGTATATAATTCATTTCCTTTGACTGTTTTTCTTTGAATGTATGCCCTCGTCCTTTCTGAATGTATGCCTTTGTCTTTTCTGAATGTATGCCTTCGTCTTTCTTTGAATGTGTGTTAGGACTTAGAATATATTCCTCTAAGTATAGTGCCTCTTGTAGCCCTCGGCTACTAGGCCCATTTAGTTATCTGAACATTTCACCGAGGGCCCATCGTTCAGGACTTTAGAAATATTTTCTAAGTGTTGTTCATCTGTTGGCCCCCGGCTAATTCCTTCCCTCTGGTTCTGTGTAGCCTTCATGAGATAACCGGAGGCGAGGTGCTTAGGACTTAGAAAATCTTTCTAAGTGTTTGGATATCGTCTAGCCTTCGGTACGTGGGTACCCTTCGCTGCATGGGTATATAACCGAGGGCCCAAAATATTCAGAACTTAGAAAATATTTCCAAGTGTAGTTTCACCAAGCATTCGGCCGTGTGGCCCCTCTGGCTGCATGGAGATTTGACCGAGGGTCGAAAATATATAGGACTTAGAAAATATTTCTAAGTGTAGTTGTATGAGGTAGGAGCCTTCGGGTGAAATGTGAGAGCTTTGTCGTAGGTGTACCCTCGGTTGTATGGTGACTCGACAGAGGGCAAAGTACTTAGGACTTAGGAAATTTTTCTAAGTATTTCCTGTTGCTGGCCTTCGGGCGTGGACCCTTCGGCTGTATACTTTGCAGGTTTAGGATAGTTTCCTTTGTCTTGCAATGTTGGCCTGCAGCAACAAAAAGCCTTCGGCTGTTGTTGTGTCCCCACAGTTTTGACTTAGGAAAGTTTGTAATCCAAGTCCAGCATAAAAAGACAGACTCCTTCGGGCCTTGTCTGGGTGTGTCCCCTCGGCTTTTAGTGAGGTGCCGGAGGTGATTCTTGCTTTGATTTGGCCAACATCTGATAGTTTTGTCATATAGTAGCCTTCGGGAACGTTTTGAGTTGTTGTTGGGTGAGCCTGTCATGTTTCGTAGGATTTGAGCCTTCGGATTTGATATAGCCGGAGGTAATCATGGAGTGGACTTAGCCATTTGTTGATGATGTCTGTTGTGAATGGTATCTTTGGTACTTATGAGCTTCCAGGTACCGAAGGCGTTCCCATGGGAAGCCCTCGGTATGTCCTCGTGAATTTGTTGGAATGGTGTACTCATTGATTTCTCGCTGAGTCTACTCCCCTTCACCACCCCATTTTTTTTTGTAGTGAAGGGAAGGCTTCAAGAAACTTGGTTTCTTGGTAAGGCTTGGCCTATCGGGAGGTAACAGAATACACCATTAGCTCCCCCCTCGGGTCAACCTTCCGAGTTCCGAGGGGATCGAGGGTCATTTCCTGGGTACAAGATATGGTGGTCTGTAGCCTGCCTCCCCTTGGGGGATGGCACAGAAAGCGCCTCAGTTTTGAAAGTCGTCCCCTCGGCGCTAGACATAGTCTGTGGCCTGCCACACCCTTGGGGTAGTGTTGCAGGGAGCGTTTCGATTTGGAAGTCGAATCCTGGGCATTTTAGATGCCTGCCAGTCCCTTGGGGAAATGGCGCGGAAAGCGTTCCGTTTTTGAAAGTCGAATCCTGGGCATATTTCGTGCCTGTCATACCCTTGGGGTAGTGACGCGGAAAGCGTTTCAGGGAAGGGTTTTCATTTGCACACTGGTTGCAAATGGCCGGGGGCACTACGTGCTACCGGCACCGATAGGTGGCGCCTTCGGTATAGGCGTCCTTGAGGGGTACGGCTTTAGAAACAACACTTGGTGTTTGTTCCGATGTACGGCCCCCGACACTTGGTACTGAGGGGTCTTCTGTGAAAACACTTGGTGTTTTCTTCCATTTGTTGAAAGTTGTCAGTGGTGTATCCCCCCGGCACTGGGTGCCGAGGGATCTTCTGTAGGAACACTTGGTGTTCTTTTCCACGCTGTGGATGGCAGTATAGTCTACCCTCGGCACTTGGTGCCGAGGGTTCTTCCTTGTAGGGGTCGATATGAGGGCTTGGCCGCTCATAAGAGTCTTGTTCCATGTTCTTGGTGTCTTCAATATGCATTCATTCTTCAAAATTTCTAGGCCTTGGGCCGCAAAATAATACATTCACTAGTTATGAGGGTTTGGCCGCTCTGATGTTATTGATAAAATTTAACTAAGTGATGTACATTCCAATGTCTATGGACTTTAGTCCCATTGGGGCGTTTTAGTTTGTAAGTTCTGGGTTTGATGATGGCCGCCACGATGTAGGGGCCCTCGAACTTTGGTGCCATCTTCCCGCCCTCGGTTGGTTGGCTAGCTTCCCTTCTTCGGAGGACATAATCCCCCACTTGGAACTCTCGGGAGCGGACCTTGGCGTCAATGTAACTCTTCACTTGCCTTCAGTAGTTTTCCGCGCGTATGAAGGCTTGCTCTCGGCGTTCTGAAATAAGGTGGAGGTCGAGGGCCATATTGGCGTCGTTGGCCTCTGGATCATATTGTGTGATCCTTCGGGTTGGAAGAGTTACCTCAGTGGGGGTCTTAGCTTCAAATCCGTAGCAAAGGGAGAAGGGTGTCTCGCCAGTTGCCCGCCGAGGGGTGGTACGGTAGGCCCATAAGATGTTGTGGAGCTCTTCTACCCAGCCACCCCTTCGGCCTCCAGATTCTTCTTTAGGCCTTCGAGCAAGGTCCTATTGACGTTCTCCACTTGACCGTTTCCCTGAGGGTAGGCGACTGATGAGAAGGTGTGTTTTATGCCCCATGCCTCCAGGAGGGCACAGAAGGGGGCTGCCTCGAACTGAGTCCCGTTGTCGGAGATGATTTGCTGGGGGACGCCAAACCTTGTGAGGATGTTTTTTAGAAAAAAATGACGGCACCTGGCCTCAGTAATGCTGGCGAGGGGCTCAGCTTCCACCCATTTGGTGAAGTAATCGATGGCGATGATGATGTACCTGTTGTTGGAGGTACCCCTCGGCAGAGGGCCCACAAGGTCTATGTCCCATCGAGCGAAGGGTATGGATGTGCTGATGGGGGCATAGTTGACCGTTGGCTTGCCGGGGGCTTTCTGGAAGTGTTGGCATGCGGAACACCTTCGGGCGAGATCTTCACAATCCCGGGCCATCGTAGGCCAGAAGTAGCCCTGGATTATTAGCCTTCGGGACATGGAGAAGGGTCCCTGGTGAGCTGAACAAGTGCCACTGTGCACTTCCTCCATCGCCACTTCGGCTTCATCCCGATGAAGGCACCGAAGTAATGTCCCGTTGTAGGACCTTTTGTAAAGCCTTCCGTCTTCGATAGCATAGCTGGGAGCCCTCAGCTTCGCTAGCTTGGCGCGGGCCTCATCCTCGGGCAGTTGCCCTGTGGTCATGAAGGCGACAATGTCTGAGATCCAGTCGTCCTGCCTTTGTTGTATGTTCATGACGGGGCTATCATGTATACTAGAGAGGCTGAGCTCTTCTACTTTGGCAATCTTTGAGATGTGCTCAGGGGATTCGGTCGAGAGCTTGGATAAAATGTCGGCCTCGGAGTTCTGAGCCCTCGGTATTTGAGTAAGAGAGTGTTCCTCAAATACCTTAAGCAACTCCTTGGCCGCCTCCTTGTATTGCTTCATTCTCCCTTCCTTGGCTTCGTACTCCCCGGAAATTTGGCCGACAACTAATTTGGAGTCGCATTTGACATGGATCTGTCGGGCCTTCATGTTAGCTGCCAGCCGAAGGCTACAGAGGAGGGCCTCGTATTCGGCTTCATTGTTAGAGACTTTGAAGGAGAAGCGGACTGCATAATAGGCCCGAAAGCCTTCGGGTGAGATGAGAACCACCCCTCCTCCACATGCCTTGACAGCGGAGGAGCCGTCGGTGTAGAGGGTCCACAATTCATCCGAAGGAGCCGAGGGCTCCTCGTTCGTGGCTGACCTTGCCGTACATTCCATCACAAAGTCCGCTAGGGCTTGGCCCTTGATGGCGGGCCTAGGACGGATGTCGATGTTGTATTGGCTCAAGAAGACAGCCCATTTTACCATTCGGGAGGAGGTGGTGGGGCTCCTCATCGAAGCTCCGAGGGGTTGGTGAGTGAGGACCTGGACCGGGTGAGCTTGGAAGTAATGGCCCAACTTCTTGACGGTCCACACGATAGCCAACACCGTTTTTTCCACGGGGGAGTACCGGAGTTTTGCTTCCCTGAGGGTCTTGCTAACATAGAAGATGGCATGTTGGATGCCATCCTCCTCCCGGATGAGTACTGAGCTGATGGCTGTCGGGCTAACACCCAGGTAAAGGTATAGGATCTCCCCCACCTTGGGTTTAGAGAGCACAGGGGGCGAAGATAAGTACCGTTTCAGTTCCTCGAAGGCCTCCTGACACTCTGAAGTAGGGTAAGGACTTCTCCGCCGATTTTGATAGGAAGCGATTGAGGGCTGCCAGGCGGCCCGTCAACCGTTGGACCTCCTTTACGTTGCGTGGGGGCTCCATGTTGATGATGGCCTGGATCTTCTCAGGGTTTGCCTCGATACCCCTTCGGCTTACCATGTAGCCCAAGAATTTGCCCCCTTGAACACCGAAGGTACACTTCTTCGGGTTTAGCCGAAGGTTGAATTTCTGCATGATGGCGAAGATCTCCCTCAGGTCGTCAGCATGGCTTGCTGATTGCTTGCTTTTTACGATCATGTCGTCAACATATGCCTCCATGGTGTGCCCTAGGACAGCTTGAAATACCCTGGCCACCATCTGAGTGTAGGTGGCGCCTGAGTTCTTTAGGCCGAAGGCCATGACAAGGTAGCAGAAAATGCCCTCGGGAGTCATGAAGGTTGTTTTTTCAGCGTCTTCCTCATGCATAAATATTTGATGATATCCGCGGAATGCGTCGAGGAATGACATGATTTCACATCCCGCGGTTTCATCTACAAGTTGATCAATGTTTGGCAAAGGAAAGGGGTCCATGGGACACGCCTTGTTGAGATCCGTGTAGTCCACGCACATGCGGAATGAGGGCGGTTTTTGTGCGAGGACTACGTTTGCCAGCCATGAGGGGTACTTTACCTCCTT